TATATATATATATGTACACGCATAGTTTCCGCACAAACATCCTGCGAATGGCTCGTATCGGCCTTATTTGATTCCTGTTAATTATCTTCGGATGTTTTTTGAAACAAACGATAGTCACGCGATATCGGAAAAATTGTCGGAACTTAATTTCGGACAATAAATAACGAGGCACCAGTGACACGCTCGTCGATTGAAGCGCTAACTGATCGATACACTCGATTGTAGATGATGATGATAAATTGGATTTCCGAAAGAGGAGACGGCCGAACAAGCTGTAATTGAATTACGTCGGATAATACTAAAAGTGTTCTCAAATAACGTCTCTCTCTCGCTCTCTCTCTCTCTCTCTCTCTCTCTCCCGGCGGATGATGCGTCGACAGGTGCGTGTCACAACCTGCTCGACGGAACCGTTTCCTCACAGCCGTATACGCGCGATACGTATAATTGACGCTATTTTGACAGGAATAATCCGCGTTGGCTGCGGGTTGGATTGTGACGTCGGAATGAACGGTTTCCGCCCCGCTAATAACCGCTAATCACGGATTTTGACCTCTTTCGCGAGCACCTCCGGCGCGCTTAATCGTGCTCTCGTCAACAATGATTTTTACTTCGTGAAAAAAAAAACAAAACAAAAAAAAAGAACGGGTGAGAGATCAGAGACGCGCGTGTATTGTTTTTTTTTTTTTTAAATAACGCGTCTCGTCGATACTTTGCGCGCGGAAATGCGTTTCTCTACGACGGTCATTTGTTTTTTTTTTTTCTTCTTTCTTTTCACGCCTCATTTAAAGCGCTCGCGCAATTGCAAAGGACTTTGTTCGAGTGGTCTCTTAGAGTAATTGTCGTTGTTGCTTTACCGCGCGACAACAATCTTCTCTCTCCCGTGAAGGGAGTTCCCGACGAGGGGTTGCGAACGAGTTTTTACGTAATTCACGCAAAGGAAACTCTAGCGGATATTTCCGTCTACATTGATCCGGCAACATTGTGACGGTTATAATACGGTCGAGAGAGCTTTTATTATATTTATACCGGATATTGATATTTATATTGTATCGTACGTGTGTATAGTAAGTACGTAGTACGTACGTACGTTTGTGTCTCTATATCCACGTTTCTTTTCGCTCGTTCGATTTGAAGGACGCGAGACACGATGTTTATCTTTACACACAGCGAGAGAGAAGCGAAAGCGGGTAAGTAGCTGCTACTCGACTACTCGAGGACTGATGAGAGAACTGACGCGAAAAGTCAGTCTCGTTTTCGCTCGGCAAACGGAAGGATCCACTTCTTCTCTATGTTTCTGTTTGCTTTTGCAACATTCACGGTGACAAGTACGCATTTACAACGGGAATAGACACTTCACGAATTCACGAATCTGATTCCTTTTCTCTTCTGTTCGAGTTAAGAATCCCGCCGTTGTCGAGCCGTCGCGAACAAAGCAGTTTCCTCAACCCTCCCCAAAAAAGCGTTTCTTTTCGCGAGATTTTAATTTTTTTTTTTTAATCTCGAGCTGAGCTCAACAACAATCTTTCAATTAAAAAGACGTAACGTGAAGTTATCCAAAAGAACAGCTCCAGCTCCGGAATCTAATCAAATCTAAATCAGAGAGATCAAAGGTAGCAATTGGGCGAGACGTTGAGCAAACAAATTGTTTTGCGACAAATATTCTTCGATAAACACATAAATCAAGTTTCATATTTAATGACCCAATATCAGCGAGACGTTTCTCGATTAATCACGGGTAATCTTCGTCGGATAGCTCGCAAATTCGTCAAAATCAACAGCGTGTTTAGACAGCGAGGCTATATCAAGGTCGCGAGAGCCTGAGAAAAAAAAACTGTGTTGTCGTGAATCTACACGTGTGTATAAAATTTTTTTCATTCTCATAAATACACGTGTTTATAATAAACTGTTTTAAGTCTTTTTCAATCTCTGAATACGCGCCGCTCCAAAGAGCGCGTCGCACAAATGAAGCACAGGTAGGAAGCTCGGGTCGAATTACTCCGTAACATTCCTTCCATTCACAACAAAAAGGGAGAGAGAGAAAGAGAGATAGAAAGAGAGAGAGAGAGAGAGGTTTTTTACGATATATATTTGTCTACCCACGTAAAATATCTCTTCCTGAGAGAGAAACCTTTTCTTATGTAAATTCTTCTCGAAGTTACGAAAGAGAGAAGAATTTCTTTCCGAGATCTACTGACTCACAGTGTCGTAATTAAATGTTAATTAGTTTCGAGCGATCCCCCCACTGGGGGACAAGATATATCAATGGCGATGAGGAAAAGATCGAGAGAAACGGAGAGACGCTTCCTGTACCCGCGTGTTTCCAAGTAACAATCGTCAACGACATCGTCACACGTAGCCAACGGTACGTTTTCAGCGTTCGCTTCGGGCTGGCAACCCGAAACGGCATCCCGATCGCCAAGTCGCCGAGTTCATTTCATGTCACGGTCTACAGGTAGTGTGACAGCAACAAGTGGCGCGGACTCGATTTAATTGCATACAGAAAGTCGAGGGAGAGTCTTGGATCTCGCGCGCGAAACTATCGAAGATGTGTGTTTTGAGACGAGACATTCACACGCCGCCTCTCTCGGTTTTCGTCTCGCCCGCGCGACGACATTTACGCAGCATCCGCTGCGTAAAACGTCTCTCTCACGTTTCTCTCACGTCGCGCACACACGAACCGTCGTCGCTCGAAACTCCGATTCGAGCTGTGAATATATATATTGCCGATCGAATCTCTCTCGAATCCTCATCGCCACTTGAGAGAGAACGCGAAAACGTAAGCAAGCAAACGTGCTCGCATTTTCCTACTGTGTGAGGAAACGGAAGATGAGACGAGATTGTAACGAGAGAGTAACAACCTGAATGTGCTGCAACGCTTCGTGGGTGCTTGCGCTTGGTCACACAACAACAACGCGCTTTCCTCGCGAATCCCGTCGTTTGCGACAAACGCTATCGCGCGTAACATCTCGCGAGAAGTGACGAGATCCTGAAAAAACATCTCCACGAGAGACGCATCGTCGAGAAAACTCTCATAGGTTCTTCCTTCCGCCCTCTCTCGATCCCCATCTAATCCTTCCCCCCTCTCTCTCTCTCTCTCTCGCACATACTCTTCCTTTCCGCCACTGTGTCACACCACGTTGTCTCTCCTCTATTTCTTATTATCGCGTTTTATCATAATTTTTTTGTTTGACTTACCGTTTCGTGTGAAAGCTCCGATCCTCGGAAGAGCCGCTCGTCAACGGGAGATTCTCTCCCCCGGTTGCGTTTGTTCAAGTCAACGCGTCGTCAATGGACGAAACAGCACAACGACGCACACCGTGCGATGATGGGAATGGTGGGCACGCAACACTGTGTTACCACGCGCTCATTGGAAAAAAAAATCACGATTACACCTTGAGAAACGCGTCTACGCCGGACGTATCGTTCGTTACCGCGTCATCTAAAGAGCACCCAACTTCACCGGACGAGACCACGTACCGACTGCTCCGCTTCGCTCGCTTGGCGCCGTTTGCCGCGCGTTTGCGCGCCTCGCGCACTCCGCGGCGCGCAGGCACCGTACCGCCCCGCGGCGAACCAATAGCGAATCGCGGAAGCGTGTGATTGGCGTGACGAACGTCTCGCGCGCGCCGATTGGTCTTCGGCAAAGGGATTTTCTAACAATCGATTGCGCATCGCCGGGCACTAGGGAAGAAAAGCAAGCAAATCTGCCGGAACAAAAGAATCTACGATCTCTCGCACGTGAAAATCCAGTGAATTTGCTGCTCGCCTTGGATTTCGCCGCGCGAAAACCAATCGGCATGCTCGACATTCCACTCGCATCGCAAAATATAAATTCGTTTTTGTTTTGATGCTTGAGATCGCGTCCTAACTTCGACGGTAGTCAAAATAACGCCGCGAGTTTTTCGAATAAGTCTCATTTTTTTTCACAACTGTACAACTGCAATAACACACACGAAATTCAATTTCTCGCGCGCGTTGTCTCGCGGCTGCGCGCGATACAACACTGCGAACTGTAAAATTCTCAGATTACACAGTTACATTAATTACATATCATCCGCCGATATTTTTTATGACACTCGCGCGAGACGATGATAATCGCGCGAAACACGAAAACTAATTCGAAAACAATTTATTCTCGCGTCGCGCGTCGCTCATTTTGTTTCCGACGTTTCCGTAGAAGCGGGAACGGCCGCGGAAACAACTCCGTCGTATAACTCGCCGATTACTAGCGAGCGCGCGATACTAATTGCGTACATTATCGCGAACGCTTGACGACGCACACGCACGATCGATATTCGAACGCGCGAGACGACAACAATCGCGAGAATTCACGGGAACAAGTCGAACGTAGTTTCGGATCCGCGTCGCGCCATTACCGCCCGCTGATTCGAGTGTATCGAGACGCGCCGATACACATCGATAATCGAAATATCGAATCGACGCATGCGCGCAGAGCGGCAGAGCGCGCATAGCGCAAAACTGAATCAAAGATAGTATTTTTTACTCTTTAAAGCCTCTTGCACAATGGACGGAATAGCGATAGCGATAGAAATAACAAAATTTTTAAAGAGTTTATATTTAAAAATAAAGGTAGGAACAGCGGAATCTAACATACAAAACTACACATGTATCAATGCGGATCAGAAAATCGGAATAAGCAATAGCGATAAAATTTCCGACTAGTTGAAATTCTGTGTTAAAAACTGTGTTATTTCTATCGCTATCGCTTAAGCCCCTTGCACAATGGAAGAAATAGCGATAGCGATAGAAATAACACAGTTTTAGACACAGAATTCCAACTCGTCGGAAATTTTATCGTTATTGCTTATTCCGATTTTCTGATCCGCATTGATACATGTGTAGTTTTGTATGTTAGATTCCGCTGTTCCTACCTTTATTTTTAAATATAAACTCTTTAAAACGTTTGTTAGAGGCTTAAGCCCCTTGCACAATGGAAGGAATAGCGATAGCGATAGAAATAACACAGTTTTTAACACAGAATGCCAACTCGTCGGAAATTTTATCGCTATTGCTTATTCCGATTTTCTGATCTGCATTGATACATGTGTATTTTTGTATGTTAGATTCCGCTGTTCCTACCGTTATTTATAAATATAAACTCTTTACAACTGGTATTATTTCTATCGCTATCGCTATTCCGTCCATTGTGCAAGGGGCTTTAGATTGATCTGTACTTGTGCGCAAAACTTAGCTAATGTCGCGGGAAAACAAGTCCAGGAACAGGTAGTATATATAGTTTGTACACTTGTTTTTGCAAATATTACGGCGAAATCAGCGACCGGGAAAAAGGCACGTAAAAAAAGCACAATGAAATAATGTGTCGCTATCTGCTGTTGTTTTTATATTGGCTCACTTCGTAGCCAATAAAACCGAAGTTTGGATCGCACAAATACCAATCATAAACAAATAATATTCTTAAGAAGCCAAATCTAACGGTATTGCAAAGTAAAGTGTTTAAAATGTGTTCTCGACGTCTAGTGAGCGAATAAAAAAAATGATTGCTATCACGTGACAAACATTATCCGAGTTTTTTTCATCAAAAATTTATTCATCATATCGCGTATCTTTCACACATGTTTGCTGTACACACATCATCTGTACAAAGATTACAAAATTATGGTACATTATGAAATTGTATGAGAAGAAAATAATATTCAAATCTAAATAGATACCTCTAATTAGATTTGTAATTTGTGCCATTTGGCTTTTTTTCGCGCACTCGGTTCGGAATCGTTGGGAAAGGCACATTCTCTCTTAACTTGAATTTCCTTCAAGTCGTATATAAAATCGTCGCTCAAAGGTCTAACTCGATTCCGCATTGGACGTTGATGTTTGAAACGTAGATCCGATCGCAAATTTGCTTCCTTGCTTTTGTTCGCGGACACATTGTTTGTATCTTTTGCGCTTATCCTATGTTTGAACATATCGTTATTAGCTTGCGACGCTAATTTTTCTGAATCAGACTTTTTGACCGACGTTGGATCCGAGTCGTCGGACCCAACTATCATTTCCATCACCATTTGCTTGAGATCGGAATGATCTAAATTTTTGTTCGACTTCCCGGGATCGTGACTCATCATATATTCCTTCAAATTTTCTATCATCGCCGTTGTGTACGCCGTTGTAAATTTTTTATCGTCATCACTGTCATTACAGTGAGAATCTGTAATTTCTTCGCTTGTTGATTCGTGGGAAGCGTTAGGCGCGTTCGAGTCACTCGAATTGTTCGAGTCTGTGCGTATTTCCGAGTTACTAGAGGATACATCTGTGACAACAGACTCGTCCGTTTTTTCTTCCTCACTCGACGCGTTTGCAACGCCGCCGGTGTTGTTCAGTCTTTCTCTCTCGTTCATCAAATTCGTGATTGCGTCGTCGCTGGAAACGTACTCGTTCCACGGTATTTTTTCTATCATTACTTCCGGATTTGCGTTATTATTTTCTACGGTGCGATGATGTTTGGCAAAATGCGTTTTGCAATCGCATCTTGCAAAAGACTGAAAGTGACACAGCTTGCAACGATAACGAAACCAATCAAGGTGAATTGCTATGTGTCTGCGAAGATTTGCTAAGGATGTGAGTTTTCGATTGCATTTAAGGCACTTGAGCCTCTTGAAGTTCGCGATCGAAGCCATTTTGGTGTCCATCTGTGAGGTTTCTTCTTTTTCGTCCGGTTGAAGTAAATCAATATCCGATGATTTGTCGCTGTTCGAACTGTTGAAGTTTTCGACAGAATCTACTTTAACGTCCGTTAGCGAGTTGGTTTCTTTAATTTCATCCAGTTGAGGTAAATTTGTTTCGCGGGCACAACTTGAATCTGACGATTTGTCACTGGTCTCGAGAAATCCATCTATCATGTCTTCTAATATAACATCTAAAATTGTACGAGTTGTTAGTTACGTAACTGGTTTTGGTTTCATTTAACTGTTACAACTGCAATTTAGGTGAAACAATATGAAAGACATTAAGAGATTTAAGAGAAATACATTATTTATTCACAGAAATAATTAGTTTCCTTTGTTGAAATTTAATTCATTATTTGAATCTCTCATCGTATTTTTTAGTCTCTTTTGAATTTTAACTATATAAAATTAAAATGTATCTTTTTTTCCATATATACGCAAACAAACTTTATTGCGTAATTGCAAGAGTATAAGTGACTCACCTTTTACATTCATCTTCTCCTCAAAAAGCACTTTTTCAATGATGACTGGCTTGTCGTCATCCTGCATACGTGACGTATCCGCAAGATTTGAGTTGTTCTTAGAATGGTGATTGTTGTGATATTGCAAATAAACAGACGTATTTTTGATATTCTTCCTGCTAGCTTTTCCAGTACGTTTTACATTTGATTTCTCCACATGGCTCAACGCATCGTCCTTCTGACAAAATATAATTATCGCACGTTTAAAATATTTAGTGTTTCTTAAGTGTGACATTAAAAATTAGTTTAGTATAACATTAAAAAGAGCATCGGATTAGAAATTTTTTACCTGAGATTCATTATCGTTCATGTTTTTCAAAGTTTCACAAGTTTTCTTCTTCTTAGCTGCACGATATTGCTTTTCTGCATTTGTATTCTTGTGGAACACTGCCAATTGAATTTGTGGCTTCAGGTTGCGCACTTGTTTGTTGGTTTTTTTGTGAACTGTATTCAAAATAATTGCAGATATGAAGATTTATATTTTTTTAAATATAACACGTTACGTAGAAAGTATTTTCAAAAAAATGACGCGCATTGTATAATCTCTCAATAGATATCATGTCACTTTAAAATTACCCTTGCTTAAGTGGCGATAGACACTCCATATATTTGTAAATGTACTTCTGCAGAAAGGACAAGAATAACACTTTCGCTTGGACGCGTGTAGTGATTTCATATGAAATGTCAATGTCTTTTTTGATGAAAATTTTGCATTACCTGTGTATAATGAAAATATAAATAAAGATATTTTACACATAGATTCGTTGTATATATGTAATGTGTGACTATTATAAGAATATTAAAAACTCTATCACTTACATATACTGCAAGCTAAGGTATTAACTGAGGACAGTCTATATGCTAATAATTTATTTTCCTCATCACTCATGTCTGCTTGAATAGGATTATCACTTTTCTCTACTTGATTATCGAATATTTGCTCCTGGGAAATAGCATCAACCTGTTGATTTCTGAAATGTTCTACCTTTGCTGCTGTCTAAAGTCAAAGAATAATAATAATAATAATAATAATGAAATTATTAAGATTATTATGTAATTACATAATTAATGTAAGCGATCGATAAGATATAAGCAACATTAACTTACATAATGAATTAAAATAAAATAATACTCACCTCTTCATTCAGTAAATCTATGGTCTCATCTTCTGGCTTAATTGTTTGATATACAGCTAAAGAAGTTGTACTTATAGGTTTTAAATAAATTTTATTTTCATTGCTTCTATCTTCAGATGATAAATGAGAATGTTCTTGAGTTAGTTCACTTGAAGAATTACACTGCGTTTCCTGAATTTTCTTGTTAAGTCTCTCTATTATTGAACTCAAATCCGTTCGTTTTTCCACTTCCTTGGACACTTGGCTTCTCAGTAACCTGCCATTTTCCTCAATTTCCTCAATCTTGGTCTGTCCTGTCTCACTCATGTGAATAGTTGTTCTTTTGAAAGAATTCTGAAAAAACAAAAAGATACAAATGTTAAACAACAAATGTTAAGAACTCTTGGAAAACATGAGCGAGAATTTACTAACCAAATTGTGTTTGTTTGCCACTTTTTGTGTAACATTAAATTTTTCTGTGCAGTAAAATCTTTTGTGAGATATTAAGTTAATAATACTTCTAAATAAACTGAGGCATTTGCGGCATTCATATATGATGTTACTTTCGTAAGACAATATAGATTTAACCTCATCCGTTCCTTTCTCAAGTAGCTTGCAAACTTGATACAAATCAGATGCACTTGTGTCCACAGGTTTCCGCAGACTCGAAAAATCAGCAACAATTTTTGTATTTTTTATAGAAGCGGAAGACTTCTCTCCTTTCTTTCTGTACTTGTACATTTTCTATGTACTCTGAAAAGATATGTATTGTTACTTTTTCTGTCTACAGAATTATCACGATCGTTTTGCTCTACAACAGAGGAGTCAGCTTTTGCTCTAAGTTTCCAACGCTGTGATATAAATTTCCAGCAAAACAAACATCTTTTCCCTTAAGCCATGATTCTTAAGCTTCAGAGCTTAAAGCAGAAGATGCTACATCTATTGTAGATTTTATAATATAAAAGTTTGCTGTGTTTCTCTTCCACATGCACATGTATGTATATATTTACAATAATCAATATTAATCCTTTGTGTCCTTCATGGCTTCATGTTGTAAACATACATTATTTTTTAAGTTCTTTCTTACTGTATACATTTAAACAAAACCACACACAAAGAAGTTCATATTAAGTGCAAAATATCAATGTCCAAGTAAATACTTGCAAAAGACTTGTATTACGTACTGCTAGTGTGATTTTATTCAAGTACAATAAAAAAGTAATAGAAAAATATTGAATGTGTGGTTATACAGATGCATGTAGTGAGAGAAAATAACACCCAATAAAATAACCAATGTATATATCAAATTACTGCGTATAAATCTCTGTCACTCACATGTAATATATAAATTACTGGCTTCTTGAAAGTATATAATTTCTATTTTTAAACTTCAGCTGTGTGTTATGACCATTTCACGTAACCACACATTCAATAGTTACCATTGCTTTTTCCTTACATATTTATCTAAAATTGTTCAAATAGTATATAACAAATGTAGAAGCAAGTACTTGTAAGATACTTGCATTATACACCACTTGTGTGATTTTGTTTAGATGTATGTAACAAAAAAATGGAATTGAAAAATATTGTATGGTTACAAATCACCATGTGACACACAGAGGGTTAAATTTATATAGAAATTTATATATACAAGAAATACTTTTTCAAGAAGCCAATTACACAGATTCACACGCAGAAACAGATTTATACGATATCTCACAGAGCACCAAAGGTCTGATGAGTATCCAGTGAATATTCAACACCAGTTATCTAGAGAAATGTTCTTAGAACATTCTGGCACATGTGACTGCATTGTAACATTGTCCTAACATAAAATATATTTTTATTAAACGAAATAGAAAATTAAAACAAAGATCTCTACATAAAAAATTCTGAGAACAATTTTACTCAAGCTATTTTATTAAATAAATTCAATCTTGCAAAAAAATTACAGAAAAACATGATAAATGTAAATTACACTCGAGCCAATAATTTAACTGTTTTATTTGCGGAAGTGTGCGGATCGTGTACGCAGAAGATACGATTTTTTTTGCGTATTGTTCGAGAAGAAATGCTCGAAGAAACAGAATCACTTCGGACCAAAATACTACATATAGCGTGAGGAAGGGAGGTCGAGAGACGGTCTCTCCTTCGTATTACTCACCGAAAATAATGTCTATCGCTCATATATCAATTAATCTCGAAAGAATATGAGCGGTTTTACCGATTTTGAACAGCTTCGCGCGGCTCTATGCGCATTTATGGGATATTTACTCTTATTATACTACGCGATGTTGATCCGAGAACCAGGCGATCGCCAGTGCCGAAGTTCCGTGTTTCACCGAAGGGCATCAGTCGGCAGCACTTTAGTTGGATATGCTCGTGCAGCTCCGATTTCGTGTTTCCCATTTCAAGAGTATCACGAGCTGATCCGCGCCAGCGAAAAAAAGGAGAATCGAGTGAAAATAAAAATATGTTTACCGTGCAACACACTCGGACATTTTTCTCACTGAAGGTATGTTTAAAGTGAAATGTTCAAGCATAACCTCTCGCGCCGCTTTTCTTGTCATCTCGATTAAGTTGGATTTTTTGTTTTTTTTTGTTTTTTTTTTGTTTTTTTACAAGAACCAAATATACGTGCGCATATTCTATTAATAAATTATTATGTATTTCAGAATGCGACGTTAATGTTGACACAAAGAACAACGCAGAATGATCTCGTTAGATTGTTTGCGCCAGTTTGTGCGACGCACCTGCCAGAGTTCAGGAACATTTACACAACATCTTCTTCCAACACATCCATAGCTCAAAATATAAGACCAATGGGAGTAGTACAGAAAACGCTAAAAAAATTTGGTATCTTAGACATCCAAAAATATGTAATTGAAACTACTTCTATATAGTTTTTGAATATGTATAAAAATAGCATAGATATATATATATATACATATAAGATAGTTGCATAAACCACTTGGTCTTATACAAAATATTCTTCGCATGCTTAAATTCATTAAACTGATTAAATTGATTTTAATTACAGAAAGATATGGCACTCGGCACTAAAGTATACGAAGATGTATTAGGACAAATTGATTATCCTTTCTTCTTTAAATGTAAGTTTCTTTTAACAGTGAGAAACTTGTGTTTTCAAATTTAATCAAACATTTGAAATATGTCATGTAATTTGCTTTGTTGATCTTTGTATTAATTAGAATTTATTACCGTTATTTTCGTGTTGTTTGTAATCCTCTTAGACACTTTAAATGTATCTTTTTTAAATGTTTTTGTACAGATTTTAATATGCCTGATACATTTTGCTCCTGGTTTTTGGTAACAGAACTTCATGTATGGATGATAATGGTTCGATACATGGCAGAAGGCAAAACTGGTAAAGCAATTAGAAATCATATAGCAATGACATTGTGGAGTGATCTGAAGGCCAGGGTGGACAAACTTGGTGTAGGTAACATTTATACTTCTAACATACAGCTACGTGCACACGCACAAATATCTTGATCTTTCGTCACACATATTTATTGTTTGCTAAGCGTGATTGTTAACTGTATTTTTACAGCCCATGAATAGCAAAGTTAAACAAAACCAATTAAAAGAAGTGACGGAACAATTTCACGCTGCTATAATAGGTTATGATGAGGGTATATTATCGAATGACAGAGTATTAGCAGCGGCGATTTGGAGGAGATTTTTCCATTTAGAATGCAATAATCCGGAACACGTTGAAGTACTTCTTATTTATATTAGAAAACAGGTAAGTCTCATGTGAGCGATGCTTGCTGACACCTATCGTGTCAAAAATATTGCGAGAAAAAAACGTGTTTGCTCTTAATAATTCACTTTTCAGATTTGTTTGTTTGACAATTTGCCAACTCACGAGATTTTAAGAAAGCCTGTGTTAAAACTAATAGATATAAAAAGTTTATGTAAGAATCGTTAATTGTGTTCTAATAAATGTAATTAGTTAAACATATGTAAAATACATAAATTGTGTATATATTGAAATATATGTATTTGTAAATACAAATATGTACTGACATAATAGTAAAAAAAAATTATGATAACACAAATGTAGTCAGAAATATAGAACGTACTTGTTTCATAAAATAACAATCTCCTGCGGACGTTTTGATATTTTTTATTGTATAAAATGTTGCAGAAACTTAAATTAAAACACGTCGTATGTCGAATCTGATATATTGTAATCAGTATTTCTCTGCAATACATCTAGTTGCTTCGTCTTTTAGACTTGCAATGATACGGCACGCGTATGTCCTCTTGCACTTTGAGTCACATTCTCTCTTCAGTGATGGCTCGGCAAGTTTGAAAAAGTTCCTAAGTCATTTTACAGAGAATGAGAAATGAACAAACAACATTTAACGATTTGATAACAATTAAACGTTTGACGAGTCTCAGACATTACCTGTAGTAGCGATTCAAAAGATCGTCGTCGTTCTTTAATCTCAGGAACCAATCGCTCAGTGAGTTGTATGACAAATGAGGAATATCGTATTCCGCTTTGAATGAATACGATTTGTACCACAACGGCCGTTGGGTCGCGTTTTCGTTCGCCAGGGACAGATTGTACATCCAGGTCTCAAAATCTGTCACCATCTGTAACATAGTTTTTATAATATTAGCGAATCGAACGTTCCCAAATGTGAAAACTCAATATAAAGCAAATCATTGTATAGATTAAGTTGCTCGCCAATTGTGGTTTTTATTTAACGCAATGAAAATTGTTTTTGTCAATTCAGTATCAATATGCTGAGTTTTATTATCAATCAATTGTTGTAGCCAATGTTTAGGACATGAGTCAGCAATATGTGAGCAATATATGAGCAATAATTTTTATTCATAAGTTGAGAAAAATAATATAAGTTTATTGCCGATGAGTTGTTGAGAACTTGCTGTTATTATATTTTGAAAACTGTTGTTGGCAAGAACATACTGAAAAGATGATGACACCCTTTTGTTACATTGCTGAAAACATATGAGTAATATTTGTGGCAAGTTGCCAACAACTTGCACTCAGTTGGCTATCTGGGTTGTTGTATTGAATTGAAAAACGATATCACACTAACGTAATTCGTGCTGTGGACGGTGTACAGCTTGTAGTTGGGATTTAAATTGGTGAAAGCGGTCGCGCTACCTCCGTTCCAAGCGACATTGTTAATTCTCGTATCGTCATCGTAATATAGTAGCAATTCGTCGTTGTGCGTGTGGCCGTTAAATTGCGCTTGTATTATGTGCGCGTATCTATTGACAATTTTAAGATACTCCCGTCTCCACGTTTTCTGACACTCGTTGCCGGCCGGGACGTGTGCCAATATGTGCACAAACTCGCTGTCCTTTTCGGCCTGCCAAAGTGTCTTCTCCAACCATCGCAACTGGCCGTCGGGATCTTCTGGTTGATACCACAACCACCTAAAACAATTCATTACTCAAGAATTACAAATCCGATTAATATCTTAATATTGTTTAATATTATTTTCTTTATTTTTAAGAAAATTAAAATGTAACGATAAAGTGATAGCAGTGACCAAAATAAATTTATCTTTTTTCGCATAAATCACTATCTGCCGGTTTTATTATACAATTATCTGATATGGTGTGCATTTATTGATACAAGTGTTGATAATAATAAGTGTGTACAACGGAGTACGAGATGATATAAGAAAAGAGTTGTTATCAGCAACTCTGTTATCGCGATGATTATCACACACTTTTTATTTTCGCATATTTGTTCGAAACAATTTAGACAAACAAAAACAACGCAATTATCATCACAAGAACAGAACGTGATAATGTATAATGTAACATAATTTTCAATCACACTTGCCAGTTGTAGATGTAACACACGTTATTGTTGAGAGCTATGATTCTAAATCCCCGCTTGGGCGAAACGGTGTAATATCCTCCACTTAGAATAGTTGACCGAGTTGATTCCGGCAACCATCCGAAATTAATCCATAAATCGGCCATCATTGAATAGAGCCATTTCGCGTTTATCTCGTCGTTGGTAACGTCAATCGGTGCGAATCTAAAGGAGAAGTTTCAAAAATAAAAAAAAAAAAAAAAAACACATCTACGTACGTGCGTGCGTGTTCGCGCACACATAAGAGATCGAATGGCTTACTGGTTCACGGGATGAGGCTCGTGATTGCCTAGAATAGGATAAACGGGAACGTTTCTGAATGTGTCGTGAATGTAACCGTAACTTCTGTTAAGAATTTCAACATTTCCCTCTATCGAGGTTTCCCAAACACCGTGGTCCACGATATCACCGGTGAAGTAAACGTACGAAATATTCTAGAAATTAAACAAACAGCTCGCGCATACACACACAAACACGCGCATATAAATTTAGAAAAAAATTGTACAAATGGATAATTAAATTTTATGTATAAATAAGAAATTAAGGTCCAATCGAGCCAAAATACTTAGGTGGTAGCAAAAAAATATATTTAATAAAATCAGGTAACTAGTTTTACACAGACGTTTCGACTCTGACTTGAGTCTTTTTCAATGTGAATAAATAATTAAGACATATAAATACGCATGACAAAAAAGGTCGCAAAAATATACATAAGGAACGTTAAACAGTAGTTAATGTAGACATTGTGTAATCTCACATGAAAGCGTCGGTCAATAACTTGGATGATGTGTGTATAAATACCTGAAATTTTTCGACAATATAAACATAAGAATTAAAAAGTTTATATCAAAAAAGCTAAACGGGTCACTAAATTTAAATAATCTNTGTTCTAATGACAAAAAACTAATAGTTATTCCTTATATTAATAACTTGTCCGAAAATGTTATTAGCGCCTTTAAAAANGANGATGTTATGATAGGCTACAAATGTCTGAATAGGTTAANNAGTTTTATAAANGTTCATAAAGACCTTACTCCACTTCATTNTAACAANAATATTATTTATAAAATTGATTGTAATGACTGTTGTGCATCTTACGTTGGGCAGACNAAGAGACAACTNAAAACTAGAATAAGAGAACACAAAAACAACATCACAAAGTCTTCCTCACAACTTACAGTAATTTCTCAGCATAGAATAGATTTTGATCATTCTTTTGATTGGGAGAATATTCATAATTTTAGACCGTGAACCAAACTTTTACAAGAGACTTATATCTGAGACAATACACATAAAAGAACAATCTTTTGGTTTGAATTTAAAAACTGACACAGATTTACTTGACAGTTCTTACTTTTTTTATTTACTTGACAATATTAAAATCTCAAGTTTTAAATCTTAACGTCTTTCATTCTCTGAACTTTGCTCCTATGTGGTGGGGACAATTCCTATATAAATTGTTTGTCTCTTCTTTCTGCTCGGTGTTTGACTTTTGGACTCTTATCTGTAAGTTGCTTTGTTTGTGCCTGTTTCACATTTGATTATTCGTGCTTTTCAAAAATAACGAAAATTTCAGGTATTTATACACACATCATCCAAGTTATTGACCGACGCTTTCATGTGAGATTACAATGTCTACATTAACTACTGTTTAACGTTCCTTATGTATATTTTTGCGACCTTTTTTGTCATGCGTATTTATATGTCTTAATTATTTATTCACATTGAAAAAGACTCAAGTCAGAGTCGAAACGTCTGTGTAAAACTAGTTACCTGATTTTATTAAATATATTTTTTTGCTACCACCTAAGTATTTTGGCTCGATTGGACCTTAATTTCTTATTTATATTTAATATTGCGAGCGTTATTTATTGTTAATTTAAATTTTATGTGTTTGTGTGTGTGTTAACGCAACAAGAATCTTGTATGACGTACTCGGTGCGTGTCTCGAATATGATCTAAGAGATCAACAACGGCGTGCCAGGGGCTGTCGCAATAGTTGTAGTCTCCCCAGTAGCCGGCCACTTTGTCGCTTGTGTTCGTGCTGTTCTGTCCCTTCCGACAACATATCGGCTGGTCGCACTGCGATTTGCCATAAGGCTCGTAGTTGGGGTCGTAATGAATGTCCGTTATTTGTATTATATTTAGAGTTTCGTCGACCTCGTCCGCGTCGATCAATTTTGGAGGATCACGATTGATGTCGACGCTCCACTCGAATCTGGTATCATTGAGCGGACAAGAATCCGACTCCAATAAGATCCCGCAAATCGTAGACCCCGTTAGATCGGGTCTTGCGTCTATGATGTGCAAAATTGTCGGCTGCAAGCGGAAGAGAAGAGATTCATGCAATTACGTTCAACTGGGTTTAAATAAAACCCGATTCCGCGTTCGAACGATTTAATTTTATCCGCAAATGTGATCATCGATATAAACAGTGATTCAAGCGCAAAGAAATGTGTATCAATACAGTCAAACCTCGGATAACTCAAATCTCTATAAGACGAAAATTTCGTTCGTTCCCTTCCGCTCCGCGAAAAAGAAAAAAGAACTTCAATAAGTCGAAAACCTCTACAATTCGAAGATTTTAGCTCTTCCCTGGAGATTCGAGTTATCGAGGTTTGACTGGTATTATGAAGCGATTACGGTAACACGCACAGAAAAAATGGAATTTCTGTTGCATTAAGTGCGTCAGATTTGCGGGTGAGAATTTTATAAATTTACGTACGTACCAGATTGAGAGTTATCGTACCATTGCACACTTCTTCAGTTTCAATATTCAATAGGACACAGAACTTAATCCCTTTAGATCTTATTTCATCCACTGACGTGCCGTTTCTGTATATGTTTATGACAGCGTTCAAAGCGGACTGACATATTACACATATGTTCGCGCTTCTTTCGCCGGTCAAGCTGCGCCAGTCGACACGTCGTAAATCACGTGGAAAACTTAGCATAGCGATTAACCGGCGAAATTCCTGAGTTTCGATTCCCGTCCTCATCCAGAGATCAAGTTCATTGCTAAAGCTCGATAGTGTCGCATCTACGCAAAGCAGCGATAACTTTAGGTTCTTTTTTTTTTTTGTACTTTTCAACTTTTGCATTAGACACTTGCTATATAAGAGTAAACAAATACGTTGTTTGCGATATAACATCCGGCATTTTGAATCGCTTGTGATACTGATATTTGTAATTTATCGAATGAGGTTTTTTTTAATGTAGTTTTGTAATCATTTTTTAATAAAAATTATTTCGTAGAATGTTTACTTGTAACATGGTTTTTGTTTTATCCGATTGTCGAGATTAGTCAATCTTAATTAAATAATCTGATCAAGAAGCAAAGATGACAATCGCTCATCCGATCTTCCCCCAGATGTGAGATCTCGATAACATTATAAAAATCATTTGCAGGTTTTGGTGACCGACGAAATTCCGATAATTATGACAAATGAAATAATTTACAACAGTGAATCTCGCTAGCTATTTCAAAATTATTTGCATTTTTTTCTCAATTTTCAAAAAAATTGTTAAATTACATAACTAATATATTAATATTAAATATTATATCAAATATATTGTGAATAAAAGTGTAAAAATTTTATTGTATTAATATTTATCTATATGTATAAATATATTAATACATTTTTTATAAAAATATACTAATTCATACGAATATTTGTTATTTTTGATAAAAATTTATTGAAGTAAAAAAAAAACATGTAGATAATAATGAATAAAGAACTGATAATATAATTGTGTACATTTTTCATACCTTGATGAGTGATCTCATCACTATGTGCAACTTTAACTAAAACTACGAGAAACACTAACTTATACAACAACATAACTGATACACGACTAAATCTGTTGCGTGAGAAAGCAGCTAACGTTGCGTTTATTATATCTTCCTTTTATCTCTCCCCTCTCAAATCATATTCAATACGGTTTCGTATTAATCATTATCGGTTTGGTATTGATTACGGTACGTAGTAGGCCAGATATTACACATTACAAGATTATTTTTTTTAAATATAAAAAATAAATATACCCTACTGGCGAAAAAAAGAGAGAAAGAGAAACGTGCACTCGAGAATCATATTGCGTATTATCTATTTTACTCTTGAAGATTAATAACAAATGCTTGTATATGTATGTACTTTGTATGTAGGAGTATTCTCTATTGGAAAAGTAGAAAAACACATTGGTCTGTGGAACGATTTTCTTATTATCTCTTTAAGTTTTATTATTCCAATGTCCATCACGATATATCTCGTCAACGCGAATAAATGATGATGAGTTGTGACTGTTGCGTAATCAAACAGATAAATTTCGCGTGTCGGTTGTTTTTTGATCGCAACATACTGATTTGAATGTGGAGCGTTATTGCTTTCTATCAGAATCTTAGGACGCAGTCGAAACTTCAAACTGCAAACATTTCGAAACATCGTGCTATTTTTATTTCTCGTTAAATGTAAAATAAAGATAGAATATTTCAAAACATCTGCAGTGAGAATTTGACCGCATCTTTAATGTTTTACAATGCACGCGTATAAACACACACACACAATCGAGATGTAAACAAAACCGTGCAAACTTTGTATATTCTTTAGATAATTTATCGTTCCGAGAAAAGAGATTTCTCTTTTCTTCTTTTTTTTTTTTTTTTTTTTTTTTTTTTATAGAATATACATTGTATGTACATTTACTTTGAAATTAACTTTCCTACGCGTGCAAAATTCTCAAGATTCTTCGGTCATTTCGGTGTCTTCGATCACAAGATCGTCCAGCATTTCTTCAAGCGTGATCTGCGGAATGGTCGGGTCTATTTCGTCAGTATCGACGGGAATCTGTTTACTAGAGTCCCTGAATATATTGACGTTCTGTCTCATTTCCGGATCTTCTTCCAGCTCCTCCAGGAATTCGTTGTATTCGCTGAAAAACATAACACGGATATCGCGTTAGACACATAGACTTATATAATAGACGGAGCATTCGTATAAGAGGAGCTGAAGACTTTATTAAAAGAGATAGAAATAGTCGTGGAGCAGTTCTCTTCTTTTCTAGCAGTGAGTTAATTGGTGGCTGCGGCAGGCCGAGAAAGTGGCCAAGAGTCTAATGAAGATAGAGTCCGAGAGTCAATTGAGAAAGAGTGATAGTGAAAGGTGATAGCATAGACTTGTGAGATGATTGATTCCCCACTGCTCTTATCGTAAGAGAGAGAGAGAGAGAGAGAGAAAGAGACAATCACTCCAGCACTATTTCTGTCCTTCAATGTTGTCTTCAACTTCCTCATATGAATGCTCCGTCTATTGTATAAGTCTATGATTAGACATCAGTTTGCAGCGCGCGCTGTAGATTGCGCGTGCGCATTGCGCTCTTACTTATTCTCCGTGCTCATGCTGACTACTTCGTCGACGAGATGTTTCAACTTCCACATTCTTGCTCTGCGACGGGCCGCCTTGTTGTGACCGTAAAACTTTTTCACAAGAACGATATCGGGCACCGTGTCCGCACTTAGCTTCTCGAAATTGCTGTCGTTAATATTGCTATCTTTCAGACAGTAACTGCAAGGAAGATAATAAGTTATAAGCACATTTTCATAAAATATTTATCACAAGTCACACGTGTAATATTATTTGCAAAAGGCCTTTTTTTTATGTTGTGATATAACTGACCCTAAGGCTGAATCGCCAGGTTTGAGAAAATGACCCAAGTGCGTGCGCGAATGAATCGGATTGTCGTTTATTCCCAATTCGGACGCTTTTACCAGCCAAACATCCGCTATGATGTGCTACAAGTCAATTATCTCACTTGAGTAAATCATATAAATTAAAAAAATTCGCATACTATTCACAAAAACTTGCATATTACACATACAAGTAAATACACACAAACGTGCATCTCGTGTAAGAGCAAACTTACTTTTTTGGAAATAGATCCTTGTCCGGGAAAGGTTTTCTTATCTTCGCAATTTATTATTTCAATATCCATCACGATGTACTCGGTCAATTGTTTCGGGTTGCATATGCTGTTGAAGTTGTATCTCCAATAAACAGGCGCGCTGACTTCCGCAACTACATCAAACATATCAGTTCAATGTTTTTTTTTTATTGCCAACATGTTTCGTACGTAAAAACTGTGTAATAACATAATTTTAAAAACCCTATAAATAACATATTTAAAAAATCCTATTTGCAGTGAAAAGAATTGTACAACAAAAATTGTACAAATTATTATTGTTGGCAAAAACGAAAAATCACATATGACGTTTGTTGTAACTTACTCTGTCCCGATGAAACGTCCATCAGATGCACGGCACTAGTTATTCTGTACACTAAACAGATAGAACTGATCCCGCCTAACTGTTGAGTTAATTTTCGCGGTAGGCAGACCAGGCTGTCCTTTGAGACTGGAACAATTTCAACGCTGTTTGGCACGATAATTAATATTAGTAACAACGAAATGTTAACCGCCGCTCGTACAACTGTTGTTTTAATTTACCTGTATGAGAACTTGTAATTGTATATGTTACTGTGACAGTCGTACGAAATCAATCGCTTCGACTGTTGATAACGACATGGAATGACTGTTATCAGGAAATCGACCATTTTTCTAGCTGTGCCTTCGTTTGCGTAGAAGAAGTCTAGACCTTCTGTTGACACAGTAATGATATATATTTTAAATATCGTTATTTAATTAATAATGACGCACTATTTATTGGCAAACATTTATTATATTACTTGCCGTGAATACGTTTTATGCCTAGTGTCTGCTCGTGAGCCTTATATTTCAATATAAGTTGCTCTAAATAGAAAAAGGTTTTCCTGTTTATTGCTTTTTGCCGAACTTGCACCTGCAAATGATTACGCAATATGTAAAAAAGATGAAACTGTACATAAATTATTTTATATTTTTACTAAACTCACACATGCGCGCCAGTAATCTTTAGCCTCCGAACGATGACAATCGTCACACATTTGACTATTTGTAACATATTCGACCAAAAATGTTTGCTCCAGAATTGTACCGCCCATTACTTCCGCTTGAACAGTTAATTTCACCTGAGAAAAAATATTAAATACAATAAATATTGAATTTTAACTGTATACATTTAAAACATAAACAGAATTCAATCAAATAGTAACAACTTGAATTGCAAGTCGAAAAGATTTACTTTCAATCTTTTGGAATGCGGTTCCGTCCATTTGAAACCAGCGTCTATCAATTTCACACGATTCAATCCCTTCAATTTGTTCAAGCACAAAGTCAAAAGTTCCTTGGATTCCAATGGGGCATGAATCCATCCGTTGGGTGGCTGGAGATATCTGTTAACACAAATATAGCTTTGAGCAAACCAGATGTCACATTCAGATACGTGATATTTTTGAAAAATATGACTAAACCTTTCACAACCCTTGCAGAACTGCAAGGACACTTGTTTGGGAATCCCCTCTGTGATGTCAACATGTGAACGCAGACATCCCACACACATGTTGGCAGGATTTGGCTCAATAACATTCCCACATTCGCAGCACATGCTGCAAATAAAGAAATATATTAATATGAACAAAGATTACTCCTCGTGATCATTTATATTAAAATAACAAATATATATACACATACATCATTGCTTTCTCCATTTGTATATCAGAAACTTCAACATACTCCATTTTTATTCCTGTAAGTAGTTTTATTCTTTAATTAATTTCGTATTATTACGCAACTCGAATTGAGAATTTTTAAATAAAGTGCTTGTACCTTTCAACCTCGTGTGCTCGGGAAACTTGGGACACTAACCTAAACAATCACGTCAAAATTACCAACTGTTGCCAACGGTGTGCAAACCTCTCCGGTTTGTCTGTACTAGGGAGAAGAGAGAAGACTGAGGTCCGAATTTATAGTAGCAGAGAGAAACCTGAGAGCGGCCATCCTAATGTAAATTTTTACGACGGTTTCAGCCGCTGGTTTTAGCCGTATTTCCACAAAAGTGGAACTCAAAGGCCGTTCTACATTAAACGCAAGTAGCAGATCTCGTNTCCACGAGACCTGCGACTTGCGTTTAATGTAGAACGGCCTTTGAGTTCCACTTTTGTGGAAATACGGCTAAAACCAGCGGCTGAAACCGTCGTAAAAAATTACTGTAGGATGGCCGCTCTCAGGTTTCTCTCTGATAGTAGATTTCTCAAATCTTAAGCCTATGTCACACTACGGATTAGGATTGAAATTGGATTGCAATTGGGGCCAATCAGAGCAAAGATTTCTAAACTTAGGATTGATTTTTTTTCTTCTGATTGGTCAAATTTCAATCTCAATCCGTAGTGTGACATAGGGTGCGTTCAGACAACTCAACGGTTGAGAGATCATCACTTATGATAGGACTATTCTTCAAAATCTGAGAGGTTCCAAAAGTACGATCCAATCAGAAGTGATTATCTCTCAACCGTTGTGCAACTGTTGAGTTGTCTGAACGCACCCATAGACCTTATGGCAACCAAAGCGTGACGGGGCGGCCATATTGCTACGTCACTCTCGCATTTTCTGATTGGTCGAGAGTTTACCAGGCAATCTGTCTATTCCACAGATCTTGGTTGCGGACAACCGATTGCGACTACGTAGTTCGCTACTACGGCGCTCGCTGGCGCTACGAGCAAACACTCGGTGAATTTTTGACGTCGTCTGTACACATACAAACAGCAGTCTTGCGAGCAGCTGCGATTACATGTCAAACTGGTCAAAATGGCCGAGCTGATCGCGATTCCGTTGAAGAAACCGTCTGACGTTGACGTGATAAAGCCGCTCACCAATGTCATCAAGTCGACGTACAACAATCCGAGCAATCAGAAGGACTATACGGACGCGATCGCCGAGTTCAGCAAGCTGAGGAACAATGCTCTTTGGCGAGCCTTTGAGAAGTACGAGAGTTCGTTGCAGGTTATCTACAGGTATGAGTCATCTTAAATATCATTTCCTTCAGTCGTGCGACTGATCACTGATGTCATCGACTGTCGTAATTTTCTTAGACGTTCCCGACGACTTTGATTTTGCTTGTCACATGTCTCCTGCGCCCCCCACAAACTTCATATATCAAGGATCAACTATTATCTCCTATCAATCATGTCTGATAATTTTGATTGTAGTTTTTCACCAAGAATCCGTTCACGTCTTTGTTTTTGTTGCAAAAAAAAAATCTGAAGATTGAACGTACGAACTGAAGAATTTTAAATTCACAATTTAGATTTTATCGACGCGCAAATAACAGAAATTTATCATGTTATCTCTACGATATGCACCGCGAATATATTATATATTGCAGTTATTACGACCAGTTGAACGCTTTGGAGAAAAAGATACCGGCTCACGAGTTGCAGATACCGTTCAAGTGGAAAGACGCTTTCGATCGTACAATTTTTGGGGGAAAGCTTAGTTTAAGTGAGTATTTTGGAAATTTTTAAATGAGACAATGTAACCCTATTGACAAATATAAGTCGTAAGAAAGATATTATCTCTAAACTCTCTGAGACATTTGTACAAGAAGCGATAGATAAGATAAAAGCGATATAAGTTGCGCTTAAATCAATGTCTTATAGAATTGTAACAAGATGTCTCTGATGTTAAAAAAATTGTCTCTAATGTTATTACACAGCAATCAGTACATTAGCATACGAGAAGGTATGCGTGCTCTTCAATATCGCCGCTTTACAAAGCGCCGTCGCCGCTACGCAGTCATTAGAAAGCGACGAAGGTCTGAAACTGGCAGCTAAGTTGTTTCAGGTTTGTTGTTCTCTCTTTTTTTATATTTTTTTATAGATTTGATAATTTTACTATTTTTCTCTTACGTTTCACAGCAATCAGCTGGGATATTTAATTATCTGAAAGGCAATGTGATGATGGCTATTCAACAAGAACCAACACCCGATATCAGTCCGGAAACCCTGGGAGCATTGAGCACGTTGATGCTGGCGCAAGCGCAAGAAATATTTGTGCACAAGGCGATCCACGATTCTATGAAAGACGGTATCGTCGCCAGACTGGCGGCTCAGGCAGAGGAATTGTACGCAGATGCTTTAAATATATTTCAGAAGGAAATCTTTCGCTCGTTTTGGGACAAAGAATGGGTGCCTTTGGTTAGTGCATCAGTGAAAGTATCAACGTTAGCTTTTTTGCATATGTATTATGAACAAATGTAATTGCAGATAGGAGCAAAGCAAGCTGGTTATTGCGGAATGGCTGAATATTTTCAGTCACTTGTGTGCAAGAACAGCAAATTGATTGGAGAAGAAATTGCTAGACTGGAGGTAGTCATCAGTGCTGTGAAGCTTGTCTCTATTTTGTCTAAATATCTTTTAATGTGTAACAATTGTGTTTAACGTATTTTTCAGTACGCTGTAGACTGTTTCAAAGCTGCTCAGGACAGATCCAACAAGCCGAGCTTGTTCCAAGATTACGCGAATAAAGCGCAGAGGAGTCTAACGGAGGCGAAGAAGGACAATGACTTTATATATCACGAGAGGATTCCGGATGTGAGAAGTCTGGAAGCTATAGGAAAGGCCAGTGTTGCCAAACTACTGCCGCTTCCCGCGATACTGAGTACCGACTTCAAAGGTTCGTGATATTGACGAAAAAATTTCATGAAGACAAAATTGATTATTTAATTTTTTTTTTTTTTTATTCTTAAATCTTGAAACTGTTTTGTGAAATGTATATTTACAGATCTATTTGCGGAACTGTTGCCTGTTCCTGTGCATCAAGCGTTGTCGACCTTTGAGAATCGTCGTAACGAGCTTGTTAATTACGAAGTTTCGAATCTTCGTGAAATGACTCAACTGTTGAACAGGTGAGATATCACAGATCATTCTTGATATTAAGATCGCGAGGGTACGGTTTATTTATCGCTGAAATTCGTCGCGTGCAGTGTTCTGGCGAGTTTGAATCTACCGGCAGCTATAGAGGATACGAGCGGAACAGAAATACCACAATCGCTATTGGAGAAAGCTTCTTACGTACGAGATGCGGGTGGGATACAAGCGTTGGAAGCGTCCATGAAAGACTTGCCGGATTTACTGCAACGTAACAAAGAGCTTCTTGATGAGGTGCAAATATTTTACAATCTTTTGTTTTCGAAAAATTAGACGGTGTCGTATACATTTTCTTTTTGTTCGTGCTTGCAGTCTGAGAGAATGCTGAACGAAGAGTGTGATTCTGACAATCAGCTCAGAGAACAGTTCAAAGAACGCTGGAAGCGAACGCCTAGTGCCCGATTAACAGAGCAATTTACTAGCAATATACAAAAGTATCGTGATATCATCAATAACGCGGTTTCTGCTGATAAGGTAAGAATATCGTGTGAAAAGAACATTTGGTAGATATCTATTTTTACGAGTGTTACATTGCTTGCGTGGTCAGGTGGTTCGTGAAAAATTTGAAACCCACAAAGAAGGAATGGAAATTCTAAGTTTGGATGAGGACGAGCTACGTAGAGCTATTCCGCAAGGTTCGGCTGTTCAAGAGAGCAATGTCGTCGCACAACTCAGAAAGCTGATGGAGGATGTAAGTGTGAAACATAAGAACGATGCGATAAAGAAGACAGTTTTTTAATTTTAATTTATGTTTGTTTTTACTTATTTTCTCAGGTGGAAACATTAAAGGCTGAGCGAGACGCTATTGAAAGTGAATTTAAATCTGCTACCAACGACATGAAGAGCACGTTTCTTTCGGCTATGGCTAAAGACGGGCTGATCGACGAGCCGAATTTGTCTGTCGAGAGTTTGGGAAAATGTTACGGACCTTTGCAGAAACAAGTGCGGGAAAGTATAGCGCGGCAGGAAAAATTAGTCGCCGAGATTCAGGTATGTGACTAGGTAATAAAGCTGCAAAGAGATCTGGAGGAAAAAGACAGGAATACACATAATGGAACGTGTGATGTTTCAGAGGTGCCACACGGAATTTACAAACGAACAGGCTGGTTCTGGCAGCGCGCGAGAAGCGATGCTCTGCAAACTGGCTTCCGCCTATGATGCATTTAAGCAACTTAAGAGCAACTTAACGGAAGGAGCCAAGTTCTACAACGACTTAACACAGGTACGATTCAAATTCGTAATAACATTGCGTTAATGTCCTCACAAGATTCGTCTCATTGTCTGAACAAATTTGATTTTTCTTCGCTATAGCTCCTGGTGGTTTTCCAAAATAAAATATCCGATTTTTGCTTTGCCCGGAAAACCGAGAAAGAAGAACTACTGAAGGATTTGACAACAAACTTGAGTCATTCTGGTCCCGTTGCAACACCGAACATTCCGTCGCATCATGGCAGTGGTATAAACGCGTCAATGAATTTTTTATCAAACGCGTCTTTTTAGATTTGTTTGCAACAATATTAATAAAATTATATACATTTAAATTTGATAAAACGGCCGTAATCGGTTTCAAAATAGTTGAGTTGACCTTCCAGCCTTTGGACTAAGGATCGTAGTAGAGATCGAAACGTCCCAATATTTATTTCATCGTCTTATTTATCAACTACTACGATCCTTAGTCCAAAGGCTGGAAAGTCAACTCAACTATTTTGAAAATTATATACGTGAACAACTTTTTTGCGACCTTTTGAAAATTATTGCAAATATTCTGTCTCGCGTGTATAAATTTTTAGAGATGTACCGTCATTTATTTAAATTAAAGGGCCGTCGGGCGTAAACCAGACGGGGGAAACAGCCACGAGCGCTACGGCACCGTCACCACAGCTGCCTTACCCCGTGCAAGGTGGTAACATGCCTATGCCTTACGGCACCGTGCCGGGAACGCCGTATCCAGCGTACGTTCCTCCACCGATGCCAACAACATACAACCCGTACGCCACGATGCCGTATCCCACGCAAGGTACCCAAGACACTTACGGCTCTGTACTACTTGTATATAATTTAAAACGTGTGTTATCTCTTTCTCTCTCACAATGCGTTTTCTCATTCCCCTAGGAGGATACAATCCGTACCAGGCTATGCCGCAAGCTCCGTACGGAGGTTACGCCACGTTGCCGCGTTACGGCGGTGCTAATCCGCCGCCCGGTCATCATCATCATCACCAATGGTGAATAAATTACTAAACGAGAAAACACGCAGCTCTTTATCCAGATGCTTACTGTGATCTTCTCGCAGATCACGTAATGAAGTAACATTCACTTTATTCACAAGATGTAAAAAGCTCTGCTAAGAGATCAAATAATCAGAGAATGGTACGAGGATGTTTTACGTTTGTATTAATCGTTACGTGTTTTCATCGAGTTCTTTATCTAGACCGACTGTTACTTGCTAAGCTTTAAATCCGCTTTGTCAACTTGAGTGTAGAGAGAGTTGATGAATCAATTTATAAAAAATATATTTTGTAAAAAATAAGCCAATATATATATACGAGATATTCTACATCCATGTGTGTGTGAAGCATTTTTGTTTTTTTAAAATAAGTTTTTGGAAAAAAAAAAAAACAGCCGAGATACGGGATGCAGGTAATTTATTTATCACAATTACACATGATTATTAACACATAGCTCTGCAAAGATGTACATCGTTTGTGTTCCAAGTTTTTTTTTTACTTACAAACGTTTGTTTCCGAGTTCCTTTTAACCTGTTGAAGAATTTCCTAAAATCTTAAACAATTTTTCTAAGTTCCACCTCTTTTTGTTCAAATTTGTCCAATTTGTAAGAGAATAATGTGAAAACCGTAAGAAAAGGACCAAGATAGAACCAAGAGTTTACACATACATTCAGTATGTGTTCACACACACGGTGACACTTTTTGCCCAAACACTTTTCCTTCTCGAACAGTGTACACGAGATGCGTGTATATATATATATATATATGTATATATTCCCGGTATGAAGTGCCGGGGAAAGAGGTAGAGAAGATTCGAAATAAGAGTACGAATGCTCACAGAAATAGAGAAAAGAGGTTCGAAATGAGAGTATAAATATAGACAGATTTCATATTGTATATATATCTCTCAGATGTGCACAAATTAAATGATAGCGTTTAAGCGGAAACGAACACCTTGCTATTATTGCTTTTGTGTCATTAGCAAATACTCGGACATTTCTGAGAGAAATAAGCCGATCACGGACAATTAAGCGCAAGGCGCTGAATTCCGCTGAACACCGCCAATGATTGGGACTTGAGGCCCGATACTCACAGTCTGATCTTACACCTGAAATCGTCTCAAGCTCATCCTCGGATGATTCGCGGTCGGTTTTAAGACACGGTATCGTTAAGATGAGCACAAAACGATCCTGAAGACGTCTATATAAGATCGGACTACAAATATCGAGTAGAGAACGTCGAGCTACGTTGCTCTAATGTTATTACAGCTTGTTTTAGTCTGCGAATAATGTATGCGATTCGTTGATAGTATAATCGTAAACAACTGTAATCGTTTGCGTTGTCAATAGTAAACGGAAAAGAAAAAAAAAAAAAAACGATTGATTAATTTTTGGAGTGCTGACTACTGGAACTGCTCGATCGCGAACGGCGTTTGAACTTCGGTTGGTTCTCGGACGCGTTGTTGTCGTTTCTCTTGTTGTCTCTGTGCTTGTCGTGACGAGAACCGTCGTCGTTGTTCTGATTGTAGTTGTTTTGTCGTCTGTCCCGTCTGTTGTCGTATTGTCTGTAATTGTCCCTTCCAGGTCTGCCCGTACGATAAGAATCCCGTCTGCGAGGAGAATAATTTCTCCGGTTCCTCCTATCGCGACTCCCTCTGCGATCGTAGTCCCGTTCCCGGGACCTTCGGCGATCTCTCGACCGGGAACGTCCGTATCTTCGTCGATCTCTCGAGTCGCGCCGAATGTTTCTGTCGTTGTAACGATCGCGTTTGAACGATCTCTCGCTTTTACTGTGCTTGCTCTCCTCCTTGTTCTGCGCGGTAACACCGTGCCCGTCCGCGTTTCTCTTTGCGTCGTCGTTCTGCTGTTGCGTCATCTGATTTAACGTCGTCGCCTCGTCCGTCTGGTCGTTCTCCTTGTTCTCCATCAACTCCGCCGGATGTTGCACGTTGCCCAAGTTGTCCGGCGCCTGATTCTTTTTCTCGCTAACATCCTCCACGAATCTTCTGATATGTTGGATTGTTTGTCGTTGCTTCGCCTCTTCTTCCTTCTTCAGCCGTTCTTTTTCTATCTTCTGCAATACACGAGAAAACAACAGGGAATGTACGCGATGTACACGTTTCGTCATATCGTCACTCCCTTACGTATAATTACATAAGTGTCACATATGGGATTTTCAGTTTATTGCATAATGACACTTAAAAAGTCATGTTCTTTATGGTCACCAAATATTAAAAAAAAATATTCATAAATAAGGTCCAAATTTGAAACCGAAAGATCCCTAACTATAGGGAAACATATGAAGCTTTATACTTTTAAACTGTTCTCCTCTAAAATTTGCGTTTTGGAGTCACGGGATTATACGTAGGGAGTGACGATATATACACCAGGTTATGTACCTGAAACTCGTGCAGTTTGATAGTACGATTTTGAGCTTGTTTCCAGTGAGGTGGCGTAATGCTCCTGGATCGACTTCGCGAAGACGCGTGATATCTCTAGAAATTGATTCAGAATGTGCATGTGACAAGCTTGGAAAAACCGCATCAGGAAATTGTTTCTTAAGATGTGTTGTAAGACAAGATCGTTGAATATAAACGCGATTTATCTAGTTACGTACCGCGGTACATTTACACTCACAGTTGACGATTTGCAAAAATCATCAACAATTTAAATAAATAAAAGGAACTGACACATGCATTTTGTAACACACAGTGGTCACTTACGAATACTCCTCTACCCTTCAAAATACGACCGCTATTTCGATGAGATCGCATACGATCTCTCCCATAGTGCTGTCTGAATTCCTTCTGATTCGCATTATTGGTGGATCCCGCTCTGTACAGAAATTTGTTTGCGGGCACTTCCGGAATCTCGTCAGGATCAATCTTTGTGACAGACACCAGTGGATGAGGCTGTTCATCTTCTTCGTTAGAGTCAATCTCACCTTCTTCCGACTTTGCTCTTTTACTTAAAAAAAATAAAATGACGCGTTATAATTATTGCTAATAGTTCAAAAATTTATTTGTATAAATTAAAATTTTTTTTGAAATATATAATTCTCTTTTACATTCTTTTTATCTTTGATAATATACCTTTTCTTTTTCTTCTTCTTTGACTTATCAGTGTAAGAATCAGAGTCGGAATTCGCTGAGCTCTCTTGCTTCGCTTCGCGTTTTTTCGCTGTAAACACACACACACACACGAAAGTGATACTAAGAAAATAGTAACAATTGTCAGGTTTTCTCGATCTTGCGGAGATAGCACGTTGTATACCTTTGCTTTTGATCTTCAAAACCAGTTCGCCACAGTTCACAACCTTAGCGTCTTGCAAGGGACGTGACATACGGTCTACCGGAAGTCCTTCAATATGCATCACAATTTCTTGCCCAGACACTACTTCTCCAAAAACCACGTGGACACTGGAAGGTAAAATGAGTTTTTGAGCTAGAGGATCTTTTAAAAGTGACTAATGTAAAAAAAAAAAAAAAAAGACAAAAAGGATAAAACCAAATATCACCACTTTTGTACTCACTTGTCGAGATGAGGCGCTGGTTGCGTAGTACTACAACAACAAAATATGATTAAGGGGATGAGAGATGAACAGAAAGAGCCAGCTTTCATTGGTCATTGTGTTGTAGTAGTGGAGTGCAGACCCTTCCCTCACGACTACGCAAAAACATTGCTGAGTTATTCATTCCTTCAGAATGGATCTTTACACCTATGTCTTTTTTTTTCAACATACTCCACGAGTTGCCGCACAAACAGAAACGAGACTCTACATTCGTCTTAAGATTTCGCTGGCTTTTATCACGTATCTTTAACTCAAATTTGAAAATTAACACATTATAATTGCCGTAGTTACAATTAAACATCTTTATCTATTGCTTGGGTTTGTTTCTGTTCGTTAAAAATCTTGTCAATTGGATTAAAGTTTTCAATCGCTTGTTCGCCCTTGTGACTGTTTTAAACCACACCTGATTAGGTTTTATTTTAACGAAGAGAAAAGAGATACAAAAGTTTTTCAGGAAATTTCTCTTTGAAGAGAAATTTCTTTCTATATATTGCAATAAAGGAAACACACGTAGTGACCTTGTTGCAATATCTCGCTTGCTAAAAAGTACGCCTGTAAGGTTTTGCTATATATGAATAAAGATAAATGTCATGTCAATGTGATGTAAATACACTTTTTGCAATTTTTTTAAAACAGCGAATACAGAATAAGAAAAAAGTTCAAGTGACACAATTAGCAATAATTTTGTAAAGTAAAAAAAATGATATTTAATAGTGATAATGTTTATATTCTAAGTAACCATTTAATTGCACTGTGATTATGATACTTACATAAAAAACTGTGATCCATTAGTGTCTTTACCACGATTGGCCATAGACAGCAAAAATGGTTTATCATGTTTCATAATAAAATTCTCATCTATAAAAGTTTTCAAAAACAAAAAAAAAACACAAACTTTTTATTCTTCCACAATAATACTATTGTAATTCTGTGTATAATTCCACTAAGAAGTTTTAATTGTTTTTCTATCTATTGAGTTCAATGCACGCATTACATTAGTTTTTTTTAATTTATTTACCTGCAAATGTGCCGCCATAAATTGACTCGCCGCCTGTTCCGTTACCTACTGAAAAATCTCCTCCCTGAATCATAAAATCTTTCACCACTCTGTGAAAAACTATTCCCTTATAATGCAGAGATTTGCCTGTTGTTTTTCCAAGTCCCTTTTCGCCAGTGCACAGAGCTCGAAAATTTTCACATGTTATCGGGCAGGTGTCTGAGAAGAGCTCGAAGACTATTCTACCCATTGGTAGTCCGCCCACTTCGATATCAAAAAACACTCTTGCATTTACATTAACCATGATGAAAGTTTATCAGATCACCTGTAAATTTGAAACAAAACAAAACATCCTTAGGAGTGAGTAATAAAATACATGTTGTACAGTTTTACAGTTGAAATGTACATCGACAATACTTTTAGGAATAAAATTGATGACAAAACCTTGGGAGAGAAAATGCTTGAAATCACGGACTGGATCAAAGTTTAATGAGAAGCACCGAGGAGTCATAATAAGGAACTGTATGATAAATGAGTGAGAGATAAGGAAGAGAGAGAGAGAGAGAGAGAGAGAGAGAGAGAAACAGGAAAAGAAAGAGAGGGAAAGAGACATAGCAAAGTTTCCTTGGTAACTCACAATTTTGCGCTTAGCACATATCTGAGAGAGACTTTTGCAAAAGATAATATCTGGCGCAACCAATCGGAAAATCTATTCCCAATACGTATAAAAGTAAAAACACCATCGATTGGACAACGGAATGAAGGTTACAAGCGTCGCGGAAACCGTTTGGCACAACTTACTGGAAACTGACTGACTGTGACTCCAGAAAACAGTTTCGTAAGAGCCGCACTCCCACGTACTTGCGGTCTGACACTCGATCCGACAAGAGACACCTCACGCCGTTCAATTGACGTTTAGGAGCGCATTTTGCGGTCGATGATAATTCACAATCACCACCGATCGCGCATAACCGAATACACACAGCGAGAGGAAGTTTTGCCGGTGCACATCTCTTATCGGAATTGCAATAATTGATTTGTCTCTGCGAACGAATTTCCGGTGGCGTCAACCGCCGCCTATATGCACGAGGAAACACGCGTCACAACGTGAACCAATCGACGTACCGCTTTTCCGGAAGTGATGGATTTGCATCTCAAGGCGATTGGCGAATTCCTCGGGAATCGAAATTCCGCAGCGGCGGGAAGAACTCGACCGATTTTCTATCGGCTCTCGCGGAACGATCGATTCCAATCGATTCGCAATTTAATCGATCGATTAATCGACGAGTGACCAATCTCGGTCGAGTTGATTACCGCCACCGGTGGTCGGACCGCGAGACCATAGACGTATAATATATAGACTGAGCGTGTTTGGCTGAAAAGATGTCTTCAACGTTGAGAGAGACAACATACTTTGAACAGTAAGGCCTGGTTTATGCGGGCAATAACTGTTAACTTATGCCGGAACTGGTAGAGTTTAACTATAGGGCTGTGTTCAGTTAAGCAAGATGGAACGAACTAATGCAGGAAATGCAGGAAATACAGGAATTGGAACTAATGAAACTAATGAAACTAATGAAAGAAGTGAAAATAGTGAAAAAAAAAGAAGGTTGGCTCCCCTGATCTGTT